AAATATTATGGTACATGAGGAAACACACGAGCAGGAGATAGAAAAAGGTATTGTTAATGGGTAATTTCATAAGAAGCCGCATTATATTCAGGAATTGTATTTATTGTATTGTATTGTATTGTATTAGTTTTTTTTTCTTTCTAAAATCAACTTATAAAAACAACATTTGTCTTTGCTGGGATCAAATTTTTTTTTTTTGGCCCACTTCTTATATCTTAGATAAGATAAGATAAGATAATCTTTATTTATAGTCGGTTTCATAAATACATATAAACATTAGCTATATAAGCTATTTTCCGACATAACTGACTATCCTATAACAATTCAAACAAACAATCTGTATAAAAGAAAATATATAAAAGTATTAAGAAGATCAATGTACATTTATGAAAGACTCTGTAAAACAGTTAAGATTTATCAGCACATATAAATATGGGTAAGAAAGCATTAAATGATTAAAAGCAAATATAACACTACAATCAAACATCACATAAAATTGCATCATACAAGAATTCTATTTATGTACACAACCCTAAAATCAGAAATAGAATTAGATTTTTTTTTTAAATTTAAATTATTAAAATAAATTAAAGTAAATGATTCAATTTTATTTTATTTTAATATAGTTGACCTAATTTCCAGTATGATGCTTGAGCATAAATCAGTATATACTCAATCATGAAAATATGGGTGTAACTAAAACATGTACAAGTATCATAATAAAACTTGAAATGTTTGTGTAACAGTTGCTGATCTGAGCTGGCCTAGATAAATTCATGGTCTTAGTTAATTAATTAATTAGAACCAAAATAAAATAAAAGTAGAAATAAAAAGGTAAAAATAGACTTTAAGAAGCTATTGTCCCCTTAATGGGATATATGAAAAGCTGATCAGCAGCTGCCACACATACAAACACTAACATGCACTGACAAATGACTATACTATATATATAGTTGTCAATATTTAGCCAAAATAAATGATATATAATATATCACGACTGAGTATTTTAATATGGGCCGAAGCGTCCAAAAATCTTGTCCGACATGTCTATAAAATGGTCCAAAGTACATGTATCTAGTCCGAAATGTCCATAGTCCGAATGTTCAATACCAATCCCACAGCGACAAAATGCCGCGTTCCTAATAATGATTAGACATTACCGGATGTTTATACCTGCTGATTTTCAAAGTGTGCTGATGCTGGGGATTTTTTTTTAAAATGACTGATTTAGCTGACAATTACTCAGACAAGGCGAGCAATAATGAATTGCTTGAAAAGGCAAAAAATGAATTCAATCGAGAAAAAAGACTCATGATCAAAAACTTGCCTTCCAATACGTTGGAGAAGGTGAATAATTTTAAATTTATCTGCAAGCCTTTTAAAATTATTTTAACCCTGTCCAAGTGGAAGAAGTATGTGAAATTCAGCACCGTTGTAAACATTATTAACGAATTTTGAGCAAAAGTAGAAATTTTCTTATTGTTAAACTTTAAAAAAAAAAGTGATTTAGGCCTAGGCTATACAGTGGCAGATTCACTTTGTTTTAATTGTTTTCCTTCATTGAAAATTATTTTTATGTAAAAGAAAGTGGCTAGTCGTACGGGCCCGTATGGCTAGCCAGGACGCACTGTGTTGTCTAGCTGTACGGCACTTTTCAAAATTATATGGAAGTCGAAAATGCATATGTTATTTTGTGTCTTTAAACAAGGATTTTAATTAAGTCTCCGCATTTGTCCTTGTGTGTTCACTTTAATAAAGATGCTCCGCCATTTAGTAAAAAAAGGACTACTAACAAGTGTTGTATAATCTATCTGGATAAAAGTGTCAAAGTTGCATGTTATAAGTTATAACGTCGTTGATTTTTATGCTTATGATTTGTTGTTTTATTTGTATGAAAGATGAATTATTAAATCATTTTTGTTAATCACATGGATCGAATAAATAATGATTGGAGTCAGGGTCTATTTGAAAGACCCTGTTGGAGTGTAATAAATAAATAAACAAATAAATAAACAAATAAAAAGAACATTGAAAAAAAAATGGTGAAAAGCAAAAATAATTGTATAATTTTCAAATACAGTAGATAAATATTGAACATAAAACTAATTAAAAGCACAATCAATTAATAAGCCTTAATTAAAGCCTGATTAACCCATGCAGGGACTGACAATAGAATTTTAGAATGTGTTTCATGGAACATGCAAACTTTCCTTCATGATGGACTAACTACTATACTGTTGGTAATTGACGCAATTATCAGAGCCCAACAATAATTATTTTCTGTGTTTTTTTTTTTTTAATTGAAGATGTCGAAAATTAAACTTAATGAAACAAAAACAAAAAAGGGATTATTATCAAAATTTTGTAAACTATTTCAATTGATGTTTTTTAACTGCAACCAAACGCAATTTTTTCTCGACGTCTCGAGATGACAAAGATCGATATCATATTCATACTTTCTTTACTGTAGCCAACAAGGCGATTAATCTCTTAAAAGTAAACATACGAAGACAATTGCTGTTTCTTGGTTAAAATCCTCGCTTAAAGTCATAAAATAACATATGCATTTTCGACTTCCATATAATTTTGAAAAGTGCCTACGGCCAGCCAATAAACTAAAAGTGTGTCCTTGCTAGTCGTACGTGACTCACGTACGGCTAGAACTATTGGCTAGCCGTACGGGCCAGTATGGCTAGCCACTTCCTATTTAAAAAGAAAACACAACATATTTGAGCGAAATTTTGATGTTTAAAAGTTGCTGAATGACATTAATATAGTTTTACATTATTCATGTTAATTAGGTAATGTTTTAATTATGTTTTGCTTAGTAAGACTCAGGGTTAGAATTTAGCAATATTTTCTACTTGCAGATTTTTGCAAGTGATTCAATGTTTAACTGGCAATATGAGGTACATGTAGTCAACTGGCATTTCCATGATCACTTACATCTAATTATTATTATACACAATGACAATGTATTTTAAACAGATGGTATGACAAATGATAATAAGCTTGCATGTCAGAAACATCTTTATCACTAGTAAACACAGATCTCTTCTCGTAAAGAAACAAAAACATTTGAACACATTAATTTATAAATGATAAACAATTGTTTAGGGATCAGATTAGATATACCAGAGGAATACCCACTGGTACTGTACAGTTATAAACTTATTCATGTAATGTAATTTATTAGGACCTTTTGTTACGATTTGATTAATTTTAGCATATTTTGTACTTGATAACACCAACATCCTGAAAACTCAGAGGTACTGATCTACTTAAATAAATATTTCAGCTTAATAGTAAACAATTTACAAAGGAGTGCTACGCATTTACATTAAAAATGACATAAAATGGTAATTTTGCGACATTTTAAAACCAGAAACAGTGTGGGTCAAATGCTTGATTATAATTTCTGACCTGTGTGAAATCTGCTTCGAGTCGGTACTTTAACCCAGTCAACATGCGCATATACCATTTAACACGATTAATACGATTAGGTGTTCACAGATGACAAAAAGCAAGTTTTATGGATGTTAAACAGTGGATTTCGAAGACAAAGTCTCGATATTTTATGAAAATCTGTTTTGAATTTGTAAAATACTTTTCCGTCACTTTGTGAAAAAAGTACAATTTCGAATTGTGAAGGGGCCAAACATCGGCCCCCATTATAGAAGGAAAAAAATTTTCAAATTATGTTAATTTTTAGCTCGACTATTTGATAAGAATAAGTGGAGCTATTGTAGTCACCCGAGCGTCTGCGTCGGCGTTACCACTTATGTTAAAGTTTTTGTAATACCTCAAATATTTTCAAAGTCCATTGACATATGGCTTTGAAACTTTGCACACTTGTTTACCATCATAACCCCAACCTGTAGACAGGAGGAGGTAACTGTATCAACCATTTTGACAGAATTATGCCCATTTTTGGACTTAGAATTTACATTACAGTTTTTGTAATACCTTAAATATTTTCAAAGTTCATTGACATATGGCTTTGAAACTTTGCACACTTGTTCACCATCATGACCCCAACCTGTAGACAGGAGGAGATAACTGTATCAAGCATTTGGCAGAATAATGCCCCTTTTTTCTACTTAGAATTTACGTTAAAGTTTTTTGTAATACCTCAAATATTTTCAAAGTCCATTGACATATGGCTTTGAAAACAAGTTGAAATTTTGTACTCTTCTTTGAGAGCAATAATAGGGCTCTCTTCAAGGCCTATGACTGTAACATGGATTTAAAGAAAAAAATTTGCCCTTTTGTTAACTTAAAATTTTTTTACATTATCAAGGCTTTTTTATTATCAAGCACTAAGAATAGTCGAGCGTTGCTGTCCTATCGACAGCTCTTGTTGTAAATATATTTACTAAATCTTAGTTGCCACTTATGTACATGTAGAAAAAGGTAAAACTGAAATGACATGAAGGCATTGTAATGCTTCGCCTTATATTGATAACAATAATAATAACTGGCAGGTTATTCACCTAGTGTTCTGGAAAATAGTGATAAATTTGTAAATTATTCAAAAGAAATGAAATGAAATTATGTTTGCAGGTATGTTCTACTCAGGAATGCGAGGATAATGAGGGGTGAAGCAATACTGACAGGAGGCTACAAGGAGCTGTGGAGCAGTAGTGACGGGTGATTGTAGCCACATACATCCAAGCCTGTACCACTCACTTCCACTCTCACATGTTACATGTTTGCTCTCTTTCAGCAATGGCCATCCCCCTTGTCTATGTTTGTTTTGTGTTTGTCTCATCCTTTTTGTTTGTAATTTGTCTGTTTAAAGCCCAGAGAGTCCATACAATGTTGCCAGAAAAAAAGGGAAAGTTCAGAATCTGCATTTTCAATTTTGTGTGAACTGTTCATAAAATTATTTTGATACCTTTCTTGCATACAACCTATATATATATATATATATATGACTTAACAGATACTGTACATTAATTTTAGCATAAATTCAGATAAATGATCTGACACATGTAACAAATACTAGTATAGGGATTCATTGGTGTCCTTCATACTTGATTAGTATAATTTCAAAATTTTTGTTTGATTGGAGTTCCATTTTTTTCTGGCAACTTGCCCATGTGTTAAAAAGATGTGTCATATGCAAGTGGGTATATTCTTTAACTCTAATCTCCTGTCTTTTTCTTGGTGCCCTTGCAGTAACTGAAAGCTCTAGATCTAGTTTAACTGTCTTTAACATGACTCAGCCAGATGCTTTTATTCTGCTTTTACTCTTTGTTATTTTCTTTCGTCCTACTATTTCTAGGGATCAACTCTTCCCTATACTCCTATATAGGTGTATTTCCTTTCAAACTTTTTCTTCATCTGCCCTTTTCTTTGTCTTCTACTTTATTTCCATGCTTTTCATGCACCTAGACAGTTTTTCTGAAGATTTGGATGAAGCTGTTTCCAGCAAGCTGTTGTTGCCATCATCTTTAATACTATCATTCTTGTCTATCTATTTCTGACACATTTTGTGTTGATTTTCTGTAAAATACACACTCCCTCTTAATAATTTAGATTTTAGATCTAATTAGTCTATTGATAGTCTGTTTCTATCAGTTCTCTCATCTTGACTGCTTTGACATTGATTACTTCCTGTCTATTTTTGGTATTTCATGCGATCAGTCTGTAACCAGTCTGTATTCTATGAGAATCATTTGCTTTTCATTCTTTTCTTTCTATTTTGGGTATTTATGTAATTTGGTCTAGAACCAGTCTATCTGCTATCAAAACCCTTGCATGACACTTGACATTGACCCATTTCTGCCCTTGGTGTTGTTATTTGTTTTAGAATGAATGTTAGTGGATATTAAAATGCTTTTATTACTTTCTTCTGCAGGATATTCGTGCATTTATGGGCTTCAATGGAGAGTTTCCCGTGGAGTCTGTACAGATGGTCAAAAATTTTAACCAAGGTGAGCTTATATTGCTGTCAGATGACATTGTAAAAGTGGTTTGATATTTGATGATTTATTGCAAAATATTACAAATCAGAAAGGACTTATTGAATTCATGAATAGTTAATAATATTGTGAACAAAGCAAGGTTTTCGATTTTGTATAATTTTCAATGCAAATATTGGATCAGAATCAGATATTCACATTTGCAACAAACATTTTTCATTCACTTTTTAGTTATTTTAAACAATTGAATGGTAATTCTCAAAAACAGACTGGATGTACGATCTGAAATTTGCATACAATTTTATTGGGCCAGACTGTTAAATGATTAACAGAACTCAAAATTAAGTATTTCCAATCAGGTTGTGTTAAAAAAGGTGTCGATTCCCCTAAGCAGGCATGAAGCATACATGTGGGTATACCCAGAGTTTCATCTGAAAAAAAAAAGAGATAGGAGTCAGAAAAAGTGAGATAGGAGGAGATAGGAGTTAGAAAAAGTGAGATAGGAGTTAGAAAAAGTGAGATAGGAGTTAGAACAAGAGAGATAGGAGTTAGAAAAAGTGAGATAGGAGTTAGAAAAAGTGAGATAGGAGTTAGATGCACAGTGTTAGATAATCTTGATTTGGTTTAAAATCACACTACGATTTTGTTCATATGGACAGTTCAGACTTTCAAGCTTTTGCTGTTAGTTAAAGACTCTTGATTCCCCTTTTTGCACTATTTTTGGAATACTCTGAGACATGGGTACCAGTATATCAGTCAACATGTTATCCTCAGGTTAAAGAAATTAATGACCTTTGCAGTATTAAATTAAGTCCAAAGTAATGAGAACCAACTACCCCAGTAACTTTAATATTTATTTGGATACAGATTTCCCACGATCAATAGAATTTAGCCAAACAACATGAAAGGCAGGGCTTTTTTCACAGGTTGTGCAAGCAGCCGAGCTAATTTTGGGCTAAAATTATATGTTTTATATCCTAAAGAGGAAGAAAAAGCTTGATGTAAATCACAGTTTTTGGGAAAACTGCAAGATTTTAAAGAATTTTTTTTGGGGGGAAACCACTCTTTAGCGGCTCCTGCTATAGAAGAAAAATAAACGCCCTGAAAGGGGAAAGGAAATGTGTTGCTATACAGCTTAAAGGCTAATTATTTTGTTTTACAGCTATAGTAACATTAAAGGATCCGTCCCTGGTAGATGAGGCCATTTCTAAGTTGGATAGTACAAAGCTGGATACCCTGACAGTGTCTGTGTCCGTGTATAGGAGTGAGAAGATTTTATGTATAGCACAGTTACCGTTGTCTATGACAGAATATAAGTTCCGGGAACTGGTTACGGAACATGGAAATATTGATATGTGCTTTCTTATGAGATCAGAGGAGACAGGTTTGTTTGATATCTTAATGTTATTATTGTTACTTGTTAACATTTTTTGTGGAAGTTTTTTTATTTCTCTCTCACAAGGTAGATCACATGTAATACATTTTTATATAAAAAAAGGAAAAACAGAAAAACAAATTGAAAATAGATTTTAAAATTGGAACTTAGCTGAAGTTTTACCTTCCTGCATTGGTGTTAACTGGCCTCAAACAACCAGTGCAGACCAGCCAGTGCATCCTACAAATGTGCCGTTAGATCATGGTCTGCATAATGAATTTTTCCCAGATTAGATTTTAAGAAAAATTTATTTGTACATGTATAGGGTTTTTGAATTTTTCTCCATAGGTATGGATGCTGGATGTTGTTAATATTTGATCGGTTAATGTGTTAAGAAATACAGTATTAGATGATTTTAAATGTATTTTCATAGAATTTAGAAAACGTCTAATATGTTCTTTTTGTTAGTATTTTATAATAAAACACACTAAGATTATTATGCCCCCATTTCGAAGAAAAGGGGGTATATTGCTTTGCACTTGTCGGTCCGTCGGTCCGTAGACCAAATGGTTTCCGAGTGATAACTAAAGAACCCTTAGGCCTAGGAACTTCAAACTTGGTATGGTGATTGGTCATGAACAGTAAATGACCCCTATTGATTTTGGGGTCAAGGGGTCAAAGGTCAAGGTCACATTGACCTTGTAAGCAAAAACGGTTTCCGATCAATAACTAAAGAACCTTAAGGCCTAGGAACTTCAAACTTGGTATGGTGATTGGTCATGATCAGTAGATGACCCCTATTGATTTTGGGGTCAAGGGGTCAAAGGTCAAGGTCACATTGACCTTGTAAGCAAAAACAGTTTCCGATCAATAACTAAAGAACTTAAAGGCCTAGGAACTTCAAACTTGGTATGGTGATTGGTCATGATCAGTAGATGACCCCTATTGATTTTGGGGTCAAGGGGTCAAAGGTCAAGGTCACATTGACCTCTTGGGTAAACTCGGTTTCTGATCAATAACAAAAGAACCCTTAGGCCTAGGAACTTCAAACTTGGTATGGTGATTGGTTATGACCAGCAGATGACCCCTATTGATTTTGGGGTTAAGAGGTCATAGGTCAAGGTCACATTGACCTTGTAGGTAAAAACGGTTTCCGATCAATAACGAAAGAACCCTTAGGCCTAGGGACTTCAAACTTGATATGGTGATTGGTCATGATCAGTAGATGACCCTTATTGATTTTGGGGTCAAGGGGTCAAAGGTCAAGGTCACATTGACCTCTTAGGTAAAAACAGTTTCCAATCAATAACTAAAGAACTCTTAGGCCTAGGAACTTCAAACTTGGTATGGTGATTGGTCATGACCAGCAGATGACCCCTATTGATATTGGGGTTAAGGGGTCAAAGGGCAAGGTCACATTGACCTTGTAGGTAAAAATGCTTTCCAATCAATAACTTAAGACCCCTTAGGCCTAGGAACTTCAAACTTGGTATGGTGATTGGTCATGACCAGCAGATGACCTATTGATTTTGGGGTCAAGGGGTCAAAGGTCAAGGTCACATTGACCTTGTAGGTAAAAACGGTTTCTGATCAATAACTTAAGAACGCTTAGGCCTAGGAACTTCAAACTTGGTATGGTGATTTGTCATGACCAGCAGATTACCCCTATTGATTTTGGGATCAAGGGGTCAAAGGTCAAGGTCACATTGACATTGTAAGTAAAAACGGTTTCTGATCAATAACTAAAGAACGCTTCGGCATAGGAACTTCAAACTTGGCATGGTGATTGGTCATGAGCAGCAGATGACCCCTATTGATTTTGGGGTCAAAGGTCAAGGTCACATTGACCTTGTATGTTAAAACGGTTTCCGATCAAATAACTAAAGAACGCTTAGGCCTAGGAACTTCAAACTTGGTAATGGTGATTGGTCATGACCAGCAGATGACCTATTGATTTTGGGGTCAAGGGGTCAAAGGTCAAGGTCACATTGACCTTGTAGGTAAAAAACGGTTTCTGATCAATTAACTAAAAAACGCTTAGGCCTAGGAACTTCAAAACTTTGTATGATGATTGGTCGTGACCAGCAGATGACCCCTATTGAGTTTTGGGTCAAGGGGTCAAAGGCTAAGGTCATGACCAGTAGATACTTGATAACCCTTATTAATTGTTTGATCACTGGGTCAGAAGTCATGCATAATAACCTTATCACATGACTAATTGGCTGCTGATAGGGGGCATACATGTTTACAAACATATCTTGTTGTTAAATGGCATGCATTTATGCAGTTGATTATCAGGTATTGATTTAAACATATAAATAATTTATTTAAGCTTGATTGGGAAACAAGTTTTTGCTACTTATATTAATCACCTTAGAGCCTGCTTCCTGGAACCAACCAGTACTGGTGTCATACAAAGAAACATGGTTGTGACCCAATTCGGGCTCAAACACATGATCCCTGGATTGAGAGGCAGACACCTTAACTCTTAAGCCATCTTATCAGAAATTGAGAATCCAACAATCTTAAACTCATAATTATAGTCGTACTACAAAAGAATGGCTTATTGAAATATTCTGGTTGTTAAATTTTTCCAGGAGAAAGTAAAGGGTATGGTTTTGTTGAGTTCAATGAGCCGATAGAGAAAGTGGGTAAAATAAAATGTTCCCTAGACTGGTCTAACGTTGATGATCAGACAGTACATTGTGATGCTATAGTAGACAGTTCACAGTCTGGAATCACATTCCAGGTTGGTATATTCTTAACTTGTCATGATTTTCCATTTCAACTTCAATTTAAATGTGGTATATACATGTATAATGTTTATAGATATCAAATATAATTCATCTTTACTGTGAAGTAGATCATGTTTTTCATTTGTAGACTCAATTTTTACAGTGGTATATACAATTACATGTTTATTTTTCTCTCAAAATGTTGAAATGCTGTGATCTGTCATCACTTAATTTCATAAATGGCTGCATTAAAATACACACAAATATTTTCTGCACATAAAGAGTACTAACAAATAACAATTTCTGTTGTCATTTATCTTTCAATATTGCCAGACTCATCAATACTCATCAATAATGTTGACATGAATTATATATTAAGTAATTTTATTGACAATTAAAACACAGACATATCAGGTTTTAAGCTCTGTGCATATCACAGATTATTTTTTAATTGCCCTTCAGGGTGTGTGCATATTCAGTTACATTTTATGCTATGTTATTTAATTACATTTAATTTTTTAAAGGCGCATTATGCCTCAGAAATGAATAAATTTATTCTTCTTTAGAAAGAGCAAACTTCAGTTTTATGATGTTTAGGTAATGGTTTTATTATGCTCCCCGAAAAAATTTCGGGGGAGCATATAGTTGCCGCCTTGTCCGTCCATCCGTCCGTCTTTCCGTCCGTCCGTCCCCTTTTCTTGTCCGGGACATAACTTTGAAACAACAAGAGGTATCAACATGAAACTTTGTAGGTAGATAGATCTCATTAAGTAGGTGTGCAGTGCACAAGAACCGTAACTCTGCCTTGCCTAATTTTTGAATTATTCCCCTTTGTTTATTTTTACACTTTGAACTTTGTCCTGGACATAACTCTAAAAGTATAAGAGGTATCAACATGAAACTTTGTAGGTAGATAGATCTCATTGAGTAGAAGTGCAGTGCACAAGAACCGTAACTCTGCCTTGCCTAATTTTTGAATTATTCCCCTTTGTTTATTTTACACTTTGAACTTTGTCCGGGACATAACTCTAAAAGTATAAGAGGTATCAACATGAAACTTTGTAGGTAGATAGATCTCATTGAGTAGAAGTGCAGTGCACAAGAACCGTAACTCTGCCTTGCCTAATTTTTGAATTACCCCCCTTTGTTTATTTTACACTTTGAAATTTGTCCGGGACATAACTCTAAAAGTATAAGAGGTATCAACATGAAACTTTGTAGGTAGATAGATCTCATTGAGTAGAAGTGCAGTGCACAAGAACCGTAACTCTGCCTTGCCTAATTTTTGAATTATCCCCCTTTGTTTATTTTACACTTTGAACTTTGTCCGGGACATAACTCTAAAAGTATAAGAGGTAACAACATGAAACCTTGTAGGTAGATAGATCTCATTGAGTAGGTGTGCAGTGCACAAGAACCGTAACTCTGCCTTGCCTAATTTTTGAATTATCCCCCTTTGTTTATTTTACACTTTGAAATTTGTCCGGGACATAACTCTTAAAGTATAAGAGGTATCAACATGAAACTTTGTAGGTAGATAGATCTCATTGAGTAGGTGTGCAGTGCACAAGAACCGTAACTCTGCCTTGTCTAATTTTTGAATTATCCCCCTTTGTTTATTTTACACTTTGAACTTTGTCCGGGACATAACTCTAAAAGTATAAGAGGTATCAACATGAAACTTTGTAGGTAGATAGATCTCATTGAGTAAATGTGCAGTGAACAAGAACCTTAACTCTGCCTTGCCTAATTTTTGAATTATCCCCCTTTGTTTATTTTTACACTTTGAACTTTGTCCGGGACATATTTCTTAACCCTTTACCACATATATACGTGAAACAACGCACTTTCGACCCCCCCCCCTTTTTTGGGGCCTCAAATAGTGACAAAATGTCCTATTTGGGCCCTTAACATAAGTTTTGGTTTGAGAAATGTTGCTAAAAAAATTGAGCACTTTTTCGGCGCCGCCCCCCATCCAAAAGATACATCAGGGGGTTGCCAGAAGGGGGATGTGCCAACCAACGCTGAAAAGCTTTTGACTCTATCTCAATCCCTTGAGAAGTTGTAGCACTTTGAAATGAATATTGATGGAAAAAATCGAGGCAAAATAGTGATTTTTTGGCAATTTTGAGATGTTCCCTCGTTGCCATGGTAACAGGAAATTTAAAGACTGAGCATGTCGTTACAAAGGCAATGGTCCAGTCAACATTTGTGCCAAGTTTGATTAGTATTGAAGCATTTTTCATAGTTTCATAGCAGTTTGAACTTGTAACAGGAGGCTTTTCAGTGAAAACGGCCATTTTTCACAATATGCTCATGGGGGAAAGGGTTAATGTATAAGAGATATCAACATGAAACTTTGTAGGTAGATAGATCTCATTGAGTAAGTTTGCAGTGCACAAGAACTGTAACACTGTCTTGCCTACTTTTGGAGTTATTGCCCTTTGTTCATTTTGACACTTTTAACTTTGTCTGGGACATTACTCTAAAATTATAAGAGATATTAACATGAAACTTTGTAGATAGATAGGTCTCATTGGGTGGAAGTGCAGTGCTTAAGAATCATTACTCTGCCTTGCCTTATTTTGAAGTAATTGCCCTTTGTTTATTTTTACTTTTTGACTTTTGTCCTGGACATTACTTTAAAACTATTAGAGATATCAACATGAAACTTTGTAGGTAGCTAGATGTAATTGGATAGAACTGCAACGCTTCAAGAACCTAATCAAAGCCTGGTCTAATTTTGGAGTTATTGCCCTTTGTTCATTTTTTTTATACTTTCCTGTGTCCAGAACCTTCTCGGGGAGCATCACCCGGTTCAACCGGTTCTTGTTTTTAGATTATGTTAGATGTGTATAACCTAAAGAAAGTAGCTTTAAGAGTGAAATTATTTATCAAAATAGAAGCAAAAAGTAAACAAAGTAGTATTTTGACTTCCATACAAATTACTAAATCAGATTCACTATAATTGCCAAAAGTAACAGAAGCAAAAGATAGTTCTAGTAATTGGACAATGTGAAACGTTTTGGAAACTACAAGAAAACACACACAAAAAAAGTTTTAATTGAGAAATAACAAAAACCCCACCATTTCTGAGGCATATTAGGTCTTTATGTCATGTTCATGTAGTTCAGTCATTTTAGTTTCATTATTGGTGTCATCTCTATGTTACATTATTTATAAAACAAATTTCTTTATCTATTAACATCCTCTTGTTAATGTTTATCTGTTGCAGTTTATTTTGCAATGTTACGATCCTAACAAGACATACAAGCCGCTGCTAGGGGGCATGGACGGTAGCTTTCAATGACCTCAACCGTCAATGACCAGGCTCAATCTAACCAAGCCTGCAATTTTTTATGCCCCCACAATGTGTCCGTCCGTCCGTCAATCCGTCAGTCAGTCAGTCCGTCCGTCCCGAAATCTTGTGAACGCAACTCCTCTTAAACCGGATGGCAGATTTTGCTTAAACTTACAGGGATGAACAACCTTAATGTGTAGATGGTAGTAAAGGAAGGAATTTTTGCTGCGACCAAATTTAACAGAATTATGGCCCTTTGTTGAGTTTTTCACTATATACTATGTAGAAATTTTGTGAACGCAACTCCTCTTAAACCGGGTGGCAGATTTTGCTTAAACTTACAGGGATGAACAACCTTAAGGTGTAGATGGTAGTAAAGGAATGAATTTTTGCTGCGACCAAATTTTACAGAATTATGGCCCTTTGTTGATTTTTTCACTATATACTATGTAGAAATTTTGTGAACGCAACTCCTCTTAAACCGGATGGCAGATTTTGCTTAAACTTACAGGGATGAACAACCTTAAGGTGTAGATGGTAGTAAAGGAATGAATTTTTGCTGCGACCAAATTTAACAGAATTATGGCCCTTTGTTGATTTTTTCACTATATACTATGTAGAAATTTTGTGAACGCAACTCCTCTTAAACCGGATGGCAGATTTTGCTTAAACTTCCAGGGATGAACAACCTTAATGTGTAGATGGTAGTAAAGGAAGGAATTTTTGCTGCGACCAAATTTAACAGAATTATGGCCCTTTGTTGAGTTTTTCACTATATACTTAATAATGTAGAAATTTTGTGAACGCAACTCCTCATAAACCGGGTGGCAGATTTTGCTTAAACTTACAGGGATGAACAACCTTAAGGTGTAGATGGTAGTAAAGGAATGAATTTTCGCTGCGACCAAATTTTACAGAATTATGGCCCTTTGTTGATTTTTTCACTATATACTATGTAGAAATTTTGTGAATGCAACTCCTCTTAAACCGGATGGCAGATTTTGCTTAAACTTCCAGGGATGAACAACCTTAATGTGTAGATGGCAGTAAAGGAAGGAATTTTTGCTGCAACCAAATTTAACAGAATTATGGCCCTTTGTTGATTTTTTCATTATATACTATGTAGAAATTTTGTGAACGCAACTCCTCTTAAACCGGATGGCAGATTTTGCTTAAACTTCCAGGGATGAACAACCTTAATGTGTAGATGGCAGTAAAGGAAGGAATTTTTGCTGCAACCAAATTTAACAGAATTATGGCCCTTTGTTGATTTTTAGTTTTCAACTTGTGGCACATGTAGTCCAAAAAATATTTGACCTAGACTCATAAGATTGACAGAACAGTGGCGTGTGGGGGCATCGGTGTCCTATGGACACATTTCTAGTTCAATCTTGCCATGTTGGGCTTTCTTTAGGGATTCTGTTATTTTCTATTTCACACATTCCTTATTACAGGATTTGCATTCAAAGTGTCTGATAATAGACAACCTACCAAAAGACTACTGTGATTCTATTGCATTGAGACAGGTATTCAGTGAGTTTGTGAAACCTGTGTATTGTCAGGTATGTTGATAAAAGCTTTCGCATCATACTCATATATTCTGTGTAATTTTGCATAACGCTTTTTACCGTATTTTTAAAATGAGGGCATATTTTCATGAAATGAACATTGAAGTTTTAATTTGACCCTTCTCATTTAATCAGACGCCTTCTCTGATAGAAACCACCTTATCAGTATGGAAGGTATAATATGATGTATGATATGATATAATATAATATAATTATAATATAATGTACATGTAGTATAATATAATATATGCATATATGAGCAGCGTCACAACAAAACCAACATAGTGCATTTGCGACCAGCATGGATCTAGACCAGCCTGCGCATTCGCGCGGTCCGATCAGGATCTATGCTGTTCGCTATCAGTTTCTCTACTTGTAATAGGGTTGGTAAGCGAACAGCGTGGATCCTGATCAGACTGTGCGGATGCGCAGGCTGGTCTGGATCCATGCTAGTCGCAAACGCACTATGTTGGTTTTGTCATGATGCGGCTCATATACACAATAAGGAATTTGTTAGCTCAACTATTTAGAGATTAGGGAGAGCTGTTGTACTCACCAAGGCGTCAGCATCTCACTTTGGTTAAGTTTTATACTTGCAAATAAGTATATACAAAAGTCCTAAAGGGAATTGGTTGAAACATTCCACACTTATTAGAGAGCATAATAGAAGGTCACTATCTGAGACCCATATTTCTAACATGTCTTTTAACAGAATAATTTCCCTTTTTTTTACGTTCTGAAATTTTTTACATTATCCAGACTCTTGTTTTACTATCAAGCACTGAGAATAGTCAAGCATGTTGCCTTGTTGAGATAACATTTTTGTCCCCAAAAATATTGTACAAACTTTCATCATGATTATTTATAAAAATAGTGAAATATATTTTGCTGATTGAGTTGTAACATAAATGACATTTGAAAATTAAGTTAATATGCCATTTTTTTTTCACGAAAAATTGGGACTTTAATTTTACTTCAACACATGGAGAAACTCGATTAATTGAAGTTTGACACCAAGAAGGTCTACTGTATGTTTATATGCCATGTTTTTATCACTGTAGATAGTAACGAAGGAGGGAGAGTCCCTTGGATTTGGTATCCTGGAATACGAGAGTGCTGATGATGCTGAAAGATCGTTCAATCAGTTTAATAAACACAAAATTAACGATGTCCCGATGAATATCTCATATTGTATACCAGGGAAATCTGCTATACATATGTTTAACAGAATTATGTTTAAATATGTAAGTGTTCTTTTTATGTTTAGATAATTATGTAAGTGTTTTTTTTTCTCACTATTTAAGTATGTAAGTGTTCTTTTGATATTTAAATTTGTAGCTGTTTTTTGGTTGTAAATGTCCTTTTATGTTTTCCAATTAAAAGGTCAGAATGTTAGACATATTGTTGTAACTGTCATGTAAATCATATTTCACATATGTACATTATAATTTATATATGTATTATATGTACATTATATATTTAATTTAATGATGCCTTAATATCAACTTGTAAATATACTCATATGTTTATATATATCACTCTTTGTTGAATTAAACATCTGATTGTATTTTTGGTTGGAGGCCTTATATTACGAATGAATAAACACATTGTCACATTGTAAAAATACTCAAAAATCTTTTCTCTCCATAAGTTTTATGGACCATTTTATAAAAAAAAATCATACTTTTCAGTTATTCATGTAATGAAAGAATGTCCTACTGTCACAGTGTGTTGATATGTTCCATAAGAAGACATCTGTATATATTTTTTCTCAAATCAAACTGACATGAGTTTGTATTTTTTTTTACAAAGAGCATACCACAGCATTATTGGCTTAACAGGTCTTATTCTATGGTGTATTTTTATTTAAGGATGATAAATATTTGATTTGATTTTCAGGGTGACAAAGTACATATAAACAGAGCCAGCCTTCTACCAGACCCGGTCTATCCTAATCCTGCTTTTCTTAAACATGTCTTCTTTAAAACCCATGTTGCCAAACATCCCAGATGTAAGTTTGCTTTCCTGTACATCATATTATAAAGTTTGTTTTTAAATGAAGGTTAAGGTATAAAAATTTATGAAATAGGAAAGGAAATGTGTAGGCAGCTGAAAACCTCTAATAGAGCTGCAGCAGAGAAATTCAGATGTTCCATGTTCAAGTCCTGGTCGGAATGTACATATTTTTCACCCTATGACATATCATCACTTAATAGGAGTTAACTAGTTATTGCACTAAGGTGATGATATATTAATGATGACATGTTATACATATGTGGGTACTATATAAATAATTATCATTCTTTGTTTAATATTTTCTTTGAGAGAAGGCCGCTTCTTGCAACTGAAGAAAATTTTGCAGTAAAGATCATATTGAAAATTTTTGTTTCAGTACTGGTCCAGTTTACAGATAATTTGTTACATTTACAAGAAGGCTATGTTAAACAGCTTGAGGATAGAACCAATGCTAAACCAGGTAGAATTTTCAACATATAGATTTGTCCATACAGTGTTAGTTTTTCCAAATGTTGATGTTTTTGCATTTTTGAACGAGGCATACAAAATATTTTTATCAAAATAATATTTTTAGCCATGAGGGAAGGTGGCAGGTTGGTTTTGATGACCATAGTGCATTGTAATTACTGACACAAGAGTTTTATCACTTACACAAGAGATGTAATATAGTATTTTGATTTTCTCTATAGAAGAAAATTATGAAATGGAGCATACTTATGTGCTTAGTATTACCAGTAAACATATACCTGCATAAAGGTGAATGTTTCAATTGAAATTATTTTCTAGGATATTAAAAGTTGTAGAGTGGGAACTATTCTTTAATTTGCTACCCCATTAAAATTGATGGAAGAAAACAGTACTGTATTTATATTTGAGCTTTTATATATTTCATGCTATGAAAGGAGATATAGTGAGAAATATTATGTAACATGTACTTAACATTTGTGTTACATTCTTTGGCTATTCAACTAGATTACGGAACGTAGGTGGTTGGACTCAGGTGCCTTTCGTGCCTAAAATAATGCACGGAAGGCCACTTGAGGTCTTCCTTCACCAGTAAAGCTGGAATGCCACCATATGAACTATACTGTGTAGATGTGATGTAAAACCTTACCAAACAAAGCATTTTAAAATTTTCACTTTTCATGGTCTGAGTGAGAGATTTTCTATATTTTTTTCAAATTTGAATTTTTTTAAAAATTTATTTCTTAGTGGGAAATATTCATTGCATGGGACATGTGATTTATTTTCAGGTATTTTAGGACCAGCTCCAACCATTCCAATGTCACCGTTGATGGATATCAACCTTCAGTTAGGTCTTCTATCTGTGATAGTACTTGATATGAGAGAAAAAGGCACTTATAATGGAGAGGTCAGTTAAAACTTTTGTACGTTTTATCCGCGCCATGACAAAACCAACATAATGGGTTTGCGACCAGCATGGATCCAGACCAGCCTGCACATCCGTGCAGTCTGATTAGGATCCATGCTGTTCGCTTACAAACCGTATAACAAGCAGAGAAACTGATAGCAATTGGCATTGGCAACTGACATAAAAGTTATATCTCAACTGTCTCATGGATTGAGACTTTAAGGAATCTCAAGAATAAATACCTATATTTTGACATAACAGTGCTGGGTTTTAATGTATGTATTATTTTTATGCCCCATCAATGTGGGAGCATATAGCGTTGCACTTGTCCGTCCGTCCGTCCGTCAGTCCGTCCGTCCGAGCCAACATTTGATTATTATGAGCTTCATTCCGTAGTTAAATAAAGAACATAAACTCATAAAATTTAAAATTAAGAGCTATTTTTTGTTTTTATGAGCTTATTTTGCTTATGGACGTTGGTCCAGGTGGTGTTTATGAGCTCATTTGCCTCATAAACATCAAGTTTTGGTACGTCCGTCAGTCCCTCCGTCAGTCCGTACGTCCCGAAATCTTGTGAACGCAACTCCTCTTAAACCGGATGGCAGATTTTGCTTAAACTTACAGGGATGAACAACCTTTATGTGTAGATGGTAGTAAAGGAAGGAATTTTTGCTGCGACTAAATTTAACAGAATTATGGCCCTTTTTTTATTTTTTCACTAGATACTATGTAGAAATTTTGTGAACGCAACTCCTCTTAAACCGGATGGCAGATTTTGCTTAAACTTACAGAGATGAACAACCTTAATGTGTAGATGGTAGTAAAGGAAGGAATGTTTGCTGCGACCAAATTTAACAGAATTATGGCCCTTTGTTGATTTTTTCACTATGTACTATGTAGAAATTTTGTGAACGCAACTCCTCTTAAACCGGATGGCAGATTTTGCTTAAACTTACAGGGATGAACAACCTTCAGGTGTAGATGGTAGTAAAGGAAGGAATTTTCGCTGCAACCAAATTTAACAGAATTATGGCCCTTTGTTGATTTTTTCACTATATACTATGTAGAAATTTTGTAAATGCAACTCCTCTTTAACCGGATGGCAGATTTTGCTTAAACTTCCAGGGATGAACAACCTTAATGTGTAGATGGTAGTAAAGAAAGGAATTTTTGCTGCAACCAAATTTAACAGAATTATGGCCCTTTGTTGATTTTTTCATTAGATACTATGTAGAAATTTTGTGAACGCAACTCCTCTTAAACCGGATGGCAAATTTAGCTTAAACTTCCATGGATTAACAACCTTAATGTGTAGATGGTAGTAAAGGAAGGAATTTTTGCTGCGACCAAATTTTACAGAATTATGGCCCTTTGTCGATTTTTAGTTTTCAACTTGTGGCACATGTAGTCCAAAAAATATTTGACCTAGAGTCATAAGATTGACAGAACAGTGGCGTGTGGGGGCATCCGTGTCCTATGGACACATTTCTAGTTTTACTAAGCATTTTATAATATGAAATGTAATATAATTCTTTATATTACTGATTTAATGCTGTTTAATGTTAAAATATGCCTCGTTAAATCATGATTTTGCCATTTTCCAACAGTTTTAGGTTTGTCTGTATCTTGTGATTAAAAAAAATAATGTTTTATTTATGGTTATTAGTTACTTTTCCATTCTAGGTACCAGAGCCTCTTGGGAAAGTCAAGATTCCTACAGATGAAGAATTTCAGGTAAGATCTGTAACCCTTATAATGTTAAATATCTTAAATGGATCAGGGAATACTAACAAAGAATGTGCTGCGTGAAAAGCAACTAGTGCAGGCCATGATCATACTGAATGAATGTGCCATCTGGGCTGCATTTCATAGAGAGTCCTAAGTGTACCCTCAGTCCTAGGACATAAAACGATTGAAGGACTAAGTTGAGATTGTTTCAGTAAACATTTTTATCTTTAGTCAAATATTGTAGACTAGAAAAAAAATTATTTTCTGAGAAAAGTTAAGAAATACAATGACAGACCCTTTTCTTTGCAATTTGTGAAAAATGCCCATCAGCTTTGCTATTCAGAAACAAAAAGGGTCATGACAAAAGATCATGACATAGGAGACAATAGTTAGGACATTTTCTTTGAAATGCAAAATTGTCTCACTATATTGGTCTTAAGACTGATTTCACACTAAGGACTTTCTATGAAACGCAGCCCAGATTTTTGTTTGCAGAAATCACATGAGCAGAATCTGTTACAGCGATAGGCAAAAAGCTATATTGAAATGAGTTGATTATTAAAATTAAAACTGATATTTCCTGATAAATTTCATTTAACTGATGTCAACCTGAAAAGGGAAACACAGGATAAGAATCTATGTTACCAAAAAGTATTTTTTTTACATTTCTCTAACTTTTGTATAAGTTCATAATGTAGAGAGGAAGCTTATGCCAAGAAAGTACATGTGTACTTAAAAACTCCTCATGCAATGTTTGCAAATGTTGCTTGGATTTTATGATTATATACATACATTATTTACAGGAGAAACCACAGCCCGTATCTCTGCTAGGTGACCCAATGACAGCCCAGGCAAACATCATACTGAAGAATCTACTGATGCCCCAGGATAAGTCAGAATTTCACAGATCAGTAACTGACGTAGATGCTCCTAAACTACTTGAGAAATCTGTATATGAATTGAACATGGTCTATTTATGCAGTCTTGGTAGACTCATGGCAATGTTGTCAGAAAAGACTCAATCCAGGGGAATTTTAGGTATATAGTCTGCACCTACCTCGGTTTTACTTAATTATCTCAGAGAATAATACCATTGTGTTATGATTGAAGAACTTTAAATGTTATTTATGTCATGAGCAAAATTGTATATTGTTTGTTTCCTTTTTAGCTCGACTTTTTTTTTTTTTTTTTTTAAAAAGTAGAGGTATTGTTATAGTCAGGTCGGCGTTGCCGTTGCCGTTGCCGGGTCTCCGTTGCTGTTGCCGTCCGAAACTTGTACCTGGATCATAACTTTTTATTTCTTGGTGTATTGTTCTTCATACTTGGCCACAACAACCCGGTTGGGACAAGAACCTTTCAGTAAGACCACACTAACCTTGACCTTCATCCATAAATGACCTTGACCTTCAAAGGTTAAAAGTCCAATTTTTTGCTTTGTTGGCTGTTATTGGCTGTTACTTTGTTATTTTTTGAATGGATTGTCTTCAAAACTTGAACATTAATAATCTCTTCAAGGATATCCCCTAAAAAAATAACCAGTCAGACCTTTGAAACATTCACTCAATCAATTTGACCTTTTGGACTTTTGAAGGTAAAATTATTGAAAATTTCATTTTTTTTTGGCTATTATTTGGCTGGTTAACTTTGGGGTTATTTTTGAAATGGATTTGTTTTCAAACTTGAACAATAAATAAATCTTCAAAGATTAACTGTTAAAAAATATACCGAAAGACCTTGACCTTCACTCATTAATGACATTGCCTTTGAAGGTCAAATTAAATTGAAATTTTCATTGTTTTGGCAAGTAACTGACTGTAAACTTTGCTATTTTTTGAAGGGATAAAACTTCAAATTATAACAGAAACATTTCCTTAAGGACCCAGAACCTTGTTGTTTAAATCAAAAACCCAAAAATTTGCTTTGGGCTCTTTAATGACCTTGACCTTGAAGGTTATTATTACTGATTTTCTCAGATTGCTGCATTTATTGGTGTGTGTGTATGTATAGTATATGTATTATATATAAATATATATATAATTGTGTGTGGTATATATAATATACATATATGGCATGTTATATATATATGTATATATAAATTTTATAAATATATATATATATATATATATATATATATATGCATGTTATAATATATATATATATGTTTTTCTATTTTTTTCTATTTTTAGAAATTGCAATCATTGTTGCTATTTTTAGAAATTTGGGCGTCATTTTTTTTCTAATTTTATAATACATGGTAATAAATTTGCATTCATGTTTTTTTCTATTTTTAGAAATTGCGGTCATTTTTTCTTTTTAGAAATTGCGTCAATTGTTGCTATTTTTAGAAATTTGCCGGTCAATTTTTTTCTATTTTTAGAAATTGCATTCATTGTTGCTTAATTTTTAGAAAATTGCGTCATTTTTTTCTATTTTTAGAAATTTCGTCATTTTTTTTGTTCTATTTTTTTGAAAAATTGCGTCTTGTTTCTATTTTTTTAGGAAAATTGCGTCATGTTTTTCTATTTTTAGAAATTGCGTCATTTTTTTTTCTATTTTTTAGAAAATTGCGTCCATGGTTTTTCTATTTTTAGAAAATTGCGTCCATTTTTTTCTATTTTTTAGAAATTTTGCGTCATTTTTCTTTTTTAGAAATTTTGCGTCCATTTTTTCTAATTTTTTTTAGAAATTGTGTCAATTGTTTGCTTTTTTTTAGAAATTGGGGCGTCATTTTTGTCTAATTTTTAGAAATTTTGGCGTCATTTTTTTATTTTTAGAAAAATTGCGTCATTGTTTGCTATTTTTTAGTAATTGCGTCATTTTTTTTATTTTTTAGAAAATTGCGTCATTGTTTCTAAGTTTTTAGAAAGGCGTCATTTTTTTTTCTATTTTTAGGAAATTGGCGTCATTGTTTCTATTTTTAGAAATTGCGTTCATTTTTTCTTTTTTAGAAATTGTGTCATTGTTTGCATATTTTTTAGAAATTGCTCCATTGTTGCTAATTTTTAGAAAATTGCGTACTGTTGCCTATTTTTAGAAAATATGCTTAATGTTTCTATTGATTTATATATACAAAATTATATAAACAAAACTAATGGGGTGACAAGACAGCACCAAACTAAATTTATAAAAAGGAAAAACATCCCAATATATGTTCAAACCCTTTCTATTTGTTTTGCGTTTAGAAAAAGTAAAAAGTCGAGCGTTGCCCCCGCCCGGCGGTGGCTCTTGTTCTGAAGTAATACTAGTAAATAGAATTAGTTCAAGTTAAAGAAGAAAAGTATTTCAGTTATTCTTCCCTTTAATTCATAGCTATAATTTGCTAATTTTTTTTATCAAAACAGCCATAATGATTTTGATTTGCTAATTTTATCTAAAAAACAGATAGCTATAGTGATTTTTTGATATATTCTAATTTTATTTATCTAACAGATAGAAAGATTCTAATTATGTCTCCCCCACCTCGGGGGGAGACATATTGTTTTTGTGGCCCTGGTCGGCAATTCCGTCCGTCCGTCCGGGGGGGACCGAGTATTAATTCCACGTCCAGTTGTCCGTTTCTTTAATTTTTGTTTTTCCGGAGGACGATAACTAGAGTTCCTTTTGACCTACAGCCCTAAAAACTTCTAGGATGGATTTGTCTCCTTATAGATAGCCTGATTCGTGTCCACTATTGTTTGTGTTTGGGGGTCAGTTCAAGCGTCAAAGGTTCAAGGTCACACTGGACCGTTGGTAAATTTTCTCGTTCCCCCGGATGATAACTAGATTCCTTTAGACCTAAGACCTCAAACTTCAATAGGATGATTTTGGTCTTATTGAGCAGATGATCCCTATTGTTTTTGGGGTCAGTAGTTCAAAGGGTCAAGGTCACGTGACCATTGGTCAATTTCTCCGTTTTCCGGATGATAACTAGAGGGTTCCTTTTGACCTAACAGCCTCAAACTTCTAGGATGATTTTGGTTTATAGAAGCAGATTGAATCCCTATTTTGTTTTTGGGGTCAGTAGGTCAAAGGGTCAAGGTCACAGTGACCGTTTGGTCAATTTCTTCAAAATTTCCCCGGAATGATAAAACTAGAGTTCCTTTTGACCTACAAACCCTCAAACTTCATGGATGATTGGTCTTATTTTAATCAAATGACCCTAGAAATGGGTCCAGTAAAGGTCAAAGGTAAAGGTCACAGCGACCGTTGGTTAATTTTTTCCCTTTTCCGGATGATAAACTAGGAGTTCCCCTTTAGACCTAAAACCTCAAAAACTTCATAAAGGATGATTGGTTTTTATTAGCAGATGACCCTCTTGTTTATGGGGTCAGTAGGTCAAAGGTTAAGGTCCCATGACCATTTGGTCCATTTTTTCTCATTTCCGGATGATAACTAAGAGTTCCTTATCAAGTGAGGAAGCATTTAAACCCTATTATTGATTAATATCAGGATATATCGAGGTTTGGTTGGTTTTTATATATCTGTTCTTTAAAAATCTCCAATTTTCATTCCCCTGTTTTCCGATTCACAGTTTTCTCAAGCAGTGGGGAGAAAATCCCGTTTTTTTAAAAAAACACCCCCTCAAATTTTTTATTTATCTAACAGAAAAGAAAGAATAATTTTTTTTGATACTGTATGTACGGGTAGCGCCCCCAACGGGCCCCAAACCAAAACCCTTTTAAATTTGGGAAAAGGGTTTTGGTTCAGGCGGGAAAAATTTGCTCAAAAATCTTAACAAAAAATGGGAAGGGGCCCCAAAACAAAACCCCAAAAAAACGGGAATGATACGAAAACCCGGGGGAAACCAAAACCCAGCAAGGTTTCGGGGGGCAATGCTCCCAAAATTATAAACCAAAAATCCCAAATAAAGCTGAAATCTAACTTTATAAACCCACGAAAACAGAAAGTTGGCTTTTGGGAAAATGGAAACAAGGAGGAAACCCAAGCAAAAACCTTTAATTCACTGTTTGGAAATACGGGAAATTTATGAAAAATTTAATAGAACTCTGGAGATGGACTTCTTGGGCCAGTTTACAAAGGTCCAGGTCTCAAGGTAATGAACCATTTTTTGACTCAACTATTTATTATATTATAATACAAGTATCTTTTCCTTTACTCAACCTTTTAGTGTTGTTCCACATTAGTTTACTTCCCCTTACCCTTTTCGATATCATTTTGGGAAACTTGAGTCTGTTGGGTCATTGGTATTTTTTGGCTAAGAAATAGGATGATCCTGCCTTTTTACCTAATATTTAAGGACCCACATGTTTTAAGCTTCTTTCAAAGGAAATATCCTCTGGAACATGCCATGTAAAATTTCCCCATCTGTGGTTTAGGTCGGCGGCTAGACCTAGTTTGGGCTAAGAAGAACCAGGTTCCAAGCCTTCAGACTAAGCAAGGGAACCAGCATTATAATCATTTTCATATATGTTATGTTTTCTGTTTTTAAGGTCGGCTGCCGAAGTTTGCCTTAGAGAAACCAGGATTAACGAGCGCTTCAGTCTCCAGCAAAGGGAACCAGCATATATAATTTCATATAATTGTTTATGTTTTCTGTGTTAGGTGGCTAACCTAAGTTGGCTAGAGAATCAGGTACCCAGTCAGTATTCAGCAGACTAGGGAACCAGCATTATAATAATTGTCATATATGTATATTTTTTGTGATTATGGCTCGGCTGCCAAGTTTGCTTAGAGAACCAGTACCGCAAAGCTCAAGACTCAACAAGGGAACCAACAGCCACAGTGGCGATCTTTACTGTCCTTGAAACTTTAACATAAAGGAGATGGCTTAATACCTACAGAACAGACCTAAAATGGAGGAAGAGACAGGGTTGGGTTCTATGGAAAACCAAAGGTGGGAGTTACGATGGACTCAGGATATCAGGTAAGCATTTAGGGCAACGTATATGTATACAGTATTGGCTAAACTTCAGTTGCCAGGTACAAAATTTGCTTTTTATTCCTGGAACAGAAATGTGTTACCTGGCAATATATGATTGAAATACTGATGAACTTGCCTTCCATGCATTAAAACAAACTAGAGAAGCATAATTTTGTGTCCATAATGGTAAGACCAGTAGAATGACATAGATTTTTTCACAAATTTGTATTTTGAGATTTCAAAACATGAATTTAAAGGAACTCCACTGAGGTTCAAAAGTCTTAAAACGTAATGATTGAATTTTAAATACATCAACATTATTGGGGTACTTTAATAGAAAGAGATACAAAGAATTTTAAGAAATATACTACTTCCACGAAAAAGAAATGAAAATCTAGATTTTTTTAAGGTTTGTATGCTAAGCCCGGTTTGAGTGAAAAGGCCCTTTTCAATTTTTGGGGTCAGTTTTCATAATTAGAGATAATTATTCTATAGAAAAAAACGAAGGTGAGCGAATATCTTTTGATTTTGCAGACACAAGTTATAAATCTAGACCTTCTCAGATAGAACATTGAATTCGGGGAGAAATTTCAGTCCAGTCATGTCAAAAAACATCAGTGGAGGACACCTTAAATTTCAAATAAAATTTTATTTTGCTTTACAGGGTGGTTGTGATGAAAACCAGAATATAATGAAGCATATGGAGAAGCATTTAGTAACATGATGATAGAACAGTGTTGCTGCTATGGTAATGCTAATGGGACAGAAGTTTTTCAGCCAGAGAGAAATTGATGGACAGGTTGGAATTTGATGCAACTTTCAAACTTCAATGTTAAGCATTTATATTGGCTAGTAGTTTTTTTTTTTGTATGCCTGAATATGAAGTAAGCTTTCAGGTGGCTATAAGATTTAAGATTTATTTTAACTTATTAAGCATCCGAGGTTTTAATGGAGGCTAATGAACGGGTCATGATGTACACAGGAAAAAATTTCAGGTTTCCCCTTAACCCCATACTCGTTTTGATTTGCTCTTAAGTTTTAAAAAATTTTGGTATCTGAAATCCCAAAACCTTAAAAAATGATTGCATGCTTCTTTTTGATAACCTTAAAAGATGCCATTTAAAAACCCTTACCAAAGTGCACTTTTGTCCGATTAAACCCCCAAATAAAAAAAAGCTTTGTTCATATTTAAAACCCAAAACAATGAAACACATCTTGTTCCTGCTCAATACAGAACAAAGAAATAAGTTCACAGTTTCCATACTCAAAATGCAGAAACGTTTTCCCATACTTACAACCCAAAACAAAAAAAATATATATTTTACTAAAATAAACGCCTTTGTGCCAAACAAAGTATTTTTTTTTCTACCCCGTTGTTAAAGCTTTTTTTAAAATAAGTTACAAAATTTGTGCTGCATTAAAATTCCGTTATCTGTTTTAATTTGTTAATTTTAAAACCCTAAAAGTGAAGGTTTTTATGTTAGGTAGTGTTATTTTCAATTCTTCCTGCCAAAATTTTTCCCATGGGCCAATACGTTAATCTGTGATTTCCAAAAACGTTTTTTTTAAAATTTTCAGTATTCAAAAATTTAAAACCTTTTTTTTACCCGTAATTTAGTACTAGTAAAAAGAAGAGGTTTGTGATAATCTTTACCAAAAGATTTTTTAAGTTCAGGAAATAAATTTGAAAAATTTTGGCCGATGTTAAAATTGTTTTGCGGAAACTTTAAACAGCAAGACTACATTAAGAAGATTTTTTTTTTTTTCAAACGATTGTTTTTTCTTGCAAATTTTATAGTGTGAGGGGCAGATATAAAAAAGGTTAGTTTTATTACAGAGATTGATGGAGCTTATTTTTCGGATAAAAAGCAGGCAGAAATCTGGGGCTTGGGGCCTGGGATGAATAGGAAAGGTTTTGTTGACACATTTAAATTACCATATTAAACATATATTTCCGTTTTAATGTCAGGTGGTATGGTCTTTATTGGCAAAAAAGATATTTTGTTCCCGGGAAAATTTTATTTGTTTACATGATTAATATTGAAACTTTTTTGTTATAATTTTTTGGGAAAAAACCCCAAGGGGATGGAAAAAATAAAATTTTTTAAAAAAATTTTCATTTCATTAGCTTTTACCCTTTAAAGGTGTTTGGCAGCTCGCTAATTTTTTTTCTTTAAAATTTTTTTTTCAAAAATTAAAAAACTCTTGAAAAATGGATGATCATTTATTTTTTAAACATTGCAGAAGCCATTTTCACAATATATGTAGTGTTTTTTCAAACGCAATTTCTTTTTTTATTAAAAATTATAAAAAGAAAAAATTATATTTTTTTAAAGATCTCACCCGGAGAAAAGAGATGGGATTACAAAAAGATTGCCGAACGGGTTTTATGCGCTGGGGCTGCCCCCGGCTATAAAACAACAGTTGAAAGTGGTACGTCTGGTTATAAAGGGAGCTATGGTAAAATGCTGCTGGTATGTACAGAAAAATGTTTTAAATGATGGGGGACAAAGGGAAATTTGAAAAGATATGAATATGGAAATCAAAAATGGTATGTTATTTTAATTTTTTAATATTTTCTTTTTTTTAATGGGTTACTTAGGCATGTGCAAAAATCTAAAACGACCCCCCCAAAAAAAGAAAAAACTATTTAAAAATCTTCTTATTTAATATTGTGAAAGATGATTTAAGTCCCAGATGGTTTTTTGAACATACAGCAAGACAGGTTGAAGCTTGAACAGCTCAGCTTTGAAGGCCATCATAAATTCTAGGAGAATTTAATCGTGAATTTTCTATTGATCCAGCAAAACTTTGGTGATAAGCATTACCATGCATAACGAAGATTAGATTGAGATCCATTAATTCTTCATTTAGGAGCACAGTTTATATTTTCTAGTATAACATTAAATCATGATAGCATAATGTTAACCAAGTAGGCTTAATCACATTTCATATGTAATGTTTGGTTGTTTGTAAATAATGTAGACCATTGTTTGTTTTGTTTGTAAAGATTACGAATATCTTTTGTTTGTAAATAGAGCGTTAGAAACATGTGACTCGGTTGGTATTAAGACAAATGGTAACCCTTCTGTTGACAGTCTTCTGGCTCATTTAATAACGCTCGCCAGATTGGATATGTCAATAAGATACTCAAAAGACGGATTTTCCTGCCCGAATCAGGAGCAACTAATTTGGCTGCTTGTCCTTGGCGAGATTTACTCATGCAGTAAACTTTTGCTGGTTCCTTGCAGAAGATGAGTCGTACCCCAGGAGGAGGGCTAGGCCAGGAATGCAGAAGTCTGATGGGCCGCCATTCAATTCCTCCATTTTTTGCAGCAAGTGGATTGCTGGAAACAACACAATCTAATCTTGTAGTTTAGGATATGTTAAATTTTATGTCTAACATTTTTGTTTCCAGTATTCAACACTTATTTTACCAAGTTAGACATTTTTTTACTAGTTTAAAAATCAGTAGACATAGTTAAATTACTCTAAAAGTTGTTTCACACATTAAAAAAAAAATATGTTCCTTTCTTAAGAAGAAGCAAATATAAAGTGTATTTTACTTCCACACTTCCACAAAAATACTACCTCACATATAACTTGTAGCTTTATATGCCAAAAGCAACAGAAGCAAAAGCTGATTCAGATTTGCCTATGAGCATTTGTTTTGTGAAATTTAAACAACCCAAAAGATAAAACTTTGAGAAATAAATAGCCTTTGAATAAAATAGTTCAATTATCTAGTGTTTATTTAATCAATTTAAGTGTAGATAACAAAACATTTGCATTTCTTTTTTCTTTACTGAAAGTCGTGTAAGATTTTCTGTTGGTGATGCTTCATTACTCAAAATACACATAGTTAACCTGAAAAATATAATCCGCTCTCTCTTTTCCTAAATTTATTTGCTTAATGCAGGTATACCTAGAAATAACTTATAATTGATAACCTTTTTTGTTGTTTTGCTTTTAATTAAAGAAGCGAGGCTCTTAGCAACGGTTGTACTTTATGCAGTGTCTTCTATTTATTCATAATCCGTAGTATGATAAATAGACGAATATAATTAACATAATATTAAAAGTCAAGCAACATAAGCCAGTTAATGCATTCATCTTTCATAGTAGAAGTACTATTCTTTTCACAGGTTATCATCGTCACTCGGCTATGCCCAGGATAGTAAGACCTGTGGTGTTTGCCCAATTTGTTTTTGCCTCCACGGCGGATGCTTCTCGAGTTTCATGTGTCCAACAGACAGGTAGAATTCTATTAGGTCAACATTCATCATGTTATTAGAACATTGTACCTATTAATATATAATGATAACCATTTTACGATCAATAAATTGCTACTTGCACGATTTAGGATCAAACAAAAAAGCACACTTATGCTATATTGAAAAAGTGCTAGTTTAGGTGAGGAAATGTCCTTTCTTTTAAAAATTTATATCAAGAATCACGCGTTGCGTAAAAAGTAATTTAGCTGCATGTGTACACTAAACAAAGTTTGAAAATATTGAATTTTGACAAAAGGCACCATTTAATGATCAATGCATCTCTAAAACGTTTTTGGAAAAATATTGTATAAATGCGAAATATGCTATGTGCATTTAGAAGTCTGCTTTGATGTGGATGGATTTAGTTGTGTGATA